AAGGCCAAAGAAAGAGAGGAAGACCAAAGAACACATTACGCCGAGAAATGGAGACGGACGAGAGAAGATCGAACAACAATTGGATAGAACTAGAAAGGAAGGCTCAGGATAGAGTGGGTTGAAGAATGCTGGTCGACCGTCTATGTGCCATTAAGAGTAATAGGCGTAAATCCCAAATCCATATTAATCGTTATAATTCGATATGGGGGGGTAATTTATATTGTCATTAAATGTTTGAATTGAATGGATCGTTAAACTATACAGAACTTGTATAGAAAATCACTCAGCTAAATAGTATTCTTGTGTTCATCAGTGATTAACCTTAAAGATGGATTTCATGAAGTTTACTTATGAAGTCTACCACATTATAATTGAAAGAGTTACCCATCTCTGGCACAGGATGATGGCCACATATTGCTGCATATCTATACTGATGTGGCATAATATAAGTCATGAAATTCTGACACATATCTTAATAGCTATAAGACCGAAAGGTTTTGTTTGTTCATTCGTTGGCACTTCTATAACGTTTTAAACTGGTTGTAAACTAGTTCATAGTCTATAATCAAAGTTATTTTCAAACGTTCAAAGTTCAATAACTCTCAATAATCTGTTTGTTTTAACTTATGCCCTGTGTTCTATCAATATTAGAGAACAGTGATTTATCGACCGGACGAATGACGCATAAAGCAAGTATGAGCAGTCTAGACCACTTCTCGGTCCTTCTCCCTGCCTAACATTGCTTGTTAAGTCCAGAACACCACTATCAGCCTCTACGATACGAATCATTATATTTCAAACATACTGGGTTTATATACGAAACAAACAGACCACATCATACCATAAAACAGGAAACAACATTTATACAAGAATTAGCCAAATGTGGTTGTGAATATAGGAGACTGTAATGAATAGACTGGGCATAAATCAAGAATGGTAAATCGTATAATAATCATCTATAGATCAGAAGAAAGCTTACAATAAGAGGAATATGAGTATGCATAGTTTAGTTACTTAACCAAATATCCCTAAATATTAGTCTACAAATGAATCTTCAAAGTTACCATTTATTATTCTCATTAGGATACAATACTGTTGCTTATATCTATCAGTATCTTTGGTATCCTAAGAATTCATTTATTAAAATCAACCTAACTACTGATCTCATATACTACTTATAAGTTCATTAATATCAATCAACAAAAAGAAAAAAATACTCAATATTGATTACATGGTGTTATGTAATAAAACAGGTCGAATTATAAGTGATAAAAATAGTTGTGTATACTAATCAATAATTTAATGACAAACCACACAATAATCAATAAAAGTTTTTTTAAAAAGATATCAGTAAAACTGTATTAGTTATTATTGGATTTGTTATGGCTGATGATCTGACTCCAATTGGATCGTACGATGATTGTGATAGGACTATACATCCTGACTACCCTCATGTATAATCATCGACTTAAATTGCGTTAGTGAATAACAGAATTAAAATAAGCGAAATACGTGAAAGGATAAGATGGTGGTTGGAGGTAGTCAACACGTAACCCTGTACACAGGTTTCGTGCTACTTGGCACTCGTCAGTAAGATGTACCTGTAATCTTGAGGGGACTGATGCTCCCTGACAGATTTAATCCCGTGTCATTCAGCTTCACAGTCACAGACTTTACAACTGAGTTATCTGGACCACGACTGACCCCCTTTCAGAATGAGATGTATTTACAATTGGTTGGTCACCAATCAGTAATCATTCAGCAAGAAAGGATTTTTGAAAACGTATATTTTGTACAGTCGTTGGTTCAAACGAAAGAGCAAAGAAACGAAACGAAGAGAAGAGAAGAGAGCGAAACGAAATAACGTACAATGGAGAGGGCGAGTAAACCAACTCGATTTAGTCAAGCGTGAATCGATCTTGAAAATGACACAAAAATAAACTACAGACATCTGATGAATGAGATAAGAAGGGCACATACATACAGTTACATAGAAACAGTCAAGACTGATAAGCAAATAACTAACAAGGTTAAAATGTGACTACTTCAGAAGAATGAATAAATTGTCCTGTCCAAAAGCTTGAATAAGTTATATGAACTTAACATAGCAACTGACACTACGTCTGAGACACATGAAACTGAAGTAGTGTTTCCATTGAATGAATGACATAATTTTGTAGTTTTGTAGATGATAACTAAGATTCATCAAATTTAGGTAAATGGTAGAGCTTTTAGGTTATTTTGACAGGTAGTTAGTTATAAACTGTATTCTGTTTGATACAGTAGTATCTCGGTATCAGTTACAACCCATTCTATAAATACATTGAGAAAGAGATCGATGGAATTGATAGTACTAGTATAGGGGTTGTGGAGATTACTACGTTTTTTGATTGAGATCATGAATTGATTGATGTTAGACCACCTTTGGAAACCTGGAAGCACTGGACGGCCGTTTCGTTCTTTTGTGGGACACATCAGCAGTGCGCATCCACAATCCCACTGGCGGGATTCGAACCCATGGCCTTCGGTCTCTCTGGCGAACGCTTAACCTACTGGACCACTGAGCCAGCATCCAATGGTGATGTTAGACACCATCCAAATCAGAATTTCACATTTAATAACATGAATTAATCTGTCAGTTAATATTTCAAATTATTGATGCCAGGGTTTGATTTGGTTACTCCTCAAATTCTACCATTCTAACTACTGTCGAGTTGAACGTAGCCTGAGGGGAGGCAGTGTTCAACATATATGATGATTCATAGAAACAATATCAGTGTATGAACCCCATCAACGGATATCTCATTTTATATATAACAAATCTCAAAATTACTGTAGCAAAACTTTCAAGAAGTCTGTTATTGGAATAATAGTAACCTACATGAAGGAATAAAACATTAATACACCAATCTCATAATCATCTATCTATTCCATGTGTTGCAACTTCCAGTAGTTCAGAATATAAACAACGGTGAATGTAAATCAAATATGTGTGATATGTGTGAATGAAAAGTGAATACTGGAATAAATTGATTTTGTGTCATAAGATCCAAATTCCCAATCACTAATTAAGAATAATCGGTTTATTTAATTGATACCATAAACAGATCGATTTTAGACAACTGTTGAAAACCTAGAAGCACTGGATGACCATGATATTCAAGATTAACGCACTGAACTGTTTAAATATTCAATGAAGGAAGTTGAAAGATGATTATGTTAACATGGATTGAAACCAGAAAATATTATTGATTGTAAATTGATCTGTTCATTAATGAGAATTATGTTGACTATGATCATTAAACATGATCAGTTCATGTTAGGAGTAACTTTTAAATGATCAAGAAATGAAGTGTAAATAGAAACAAGAAAACTATCTAGAGGTCCATGTTTACCAACTATATACTTGTGTACACTTATATTTATTTGATACATTTCAGTCAATTAGACAGTCTACTAAAATGTAGGACCAGGCATATATATGCATCGATCCAAGTTGCCATACCTCATTAGCACAACAACGTGAACACCAAATTCATAAAAGTAGTTAATTCAATGGTGGAAATATATAAAAGAATGATTGCATATAAGGACATAGTACAGGAAGAAAGAATTAATTCGTAGAAAGAAAGATATAAAGCAATTATAATCTTATGGTATAAGGGAAGACAGAAAGTGTTTACACTGACGCCATTGTGATCGATTCTCAGCCATGTCACCAAGAGTCTCCAATCATTGGTCAGGATAGTCACGAGAACACCAACCAAGTAGTCTGCATCTGCCAACATGGCTGAGACCAGAGGTTAGTGACTTCAAGCACTGATGCCACGTTTTAGTTTGGCCGCCCCTAACTGCTTTCCAACCATCCTTTAAACTAGTCACCATCGGGCGTCGTGTTAATCGGTGTTTATGCATGCGTAACAGGTGGCCCAACCATCTCAATCGATGAAGATTTACTACCGCATCAACTGAATTACCATCATCATTCCCTAATACCCTGCGTCTAAACTCACTATTACTTATCCGGTAATTCCAGCAGATGTGAGCAACATTTCTAAGATATCTGTAGTCAAATACTAGTCGCTTATTAGTATCTTCTACTCTTAATGGCCACGTTTCTCAGCCGTTAATTAGAATATTACATCAGGTGTATACAACCACGCGGTCTAGCCATCTCACTCGATGAACATTTACAACTGAAGATACATTTCAGTAGTAAGTATAATTTTGTATCAAAATTTACTCTAATCATAAGAAAATTTACGAAATTCTTTAAGAAATTTTCTAGCAAAATGATTGATCTTCAGCAAAACATAAACATGAAACCACATGGATACAACTGAATTATATATATTTTTCAAGGATAATAATAATAAGAGGATAATCACTGATCATTCATTAAGATTATTTCTACAATCTCAATATAATTAAAGTATACTACTCATTACTTAATCATAAAACTTTAAGAATTCCATCTAGAAATGTGTAATAATCATGATAGGATCTTTAATGTAATTCATATTTTACAAGGTCTATGCTTGTTAATAAACAAGTATAAATAGAGACAGACATTAGAGGAATGAACAACGATTGGATGGAACTAGAAAGGAAGGTTCAGAAAAGAGTGGGTTGAAGAATGCTGGTCGGCGGTCTGTATTCCGTTGGGAGTAACAGGCTTAAGTAAGTAAGTAAGTGATATGATGGGAAGAAAAGTCAGAATTCGATTGATTTAGTGATTATTTTATGTATAGTAATGATAAGAAACTCCGCCTGAAGTCCCTCAGCAGGAGGGTTGGGCATGGGGTTAGCGATTCCATTCCGTAGAAAACTAACTCACTAAAAAAACGCTAACCAGAAAAAATTATTCAAAGCACTTAAACTATGCCCTGGGAGTTAGAAGGTCTTCATTTAAAAGAGTTATGACGCCTCATGATAAAAGCCGACTTCCTTCGGAATTCACGATGCCGATGCCCCTTCTGACAACCAGACTAACCATTTATTTAGGTACATGGATTTAACAATGATAAGAAAAAGGAAAGAATGACTATAGATTTACCTTTAAGTTCAGAATTGATTCGTTTAATCGATTGATTCATTCCATTATTCAATGGATTAGATTCATCTTTCTGTGTATTATATTCATTAGATATAGTTTTATTCAAATGAGATATCATTGAATGAGAATTAGATGATGATGATGATGATGATGTTTTAGTCTTTGATAGATCCATTGTATTCAATTGAATATCATTGGGTTTAACTAAAGTTAAAGGAATTTTTGGTGTTTCTAATCCAGCTGTTTTACATGAGAAACCTTCTATTTTATTACGATGATTATCCTTATCCATTGAAGTGTTATTATTATTATTATGGTTTAATCCTAACCATGTTTCAGTTAGATATGGTATTGTATATTCATAAAATAAATAACCTTGTTCAGTCATAGCAGTACGACATTTAATAAGACTTAATTCATTATCATATGGACATTGATTAGGTATTTCACCAACACATGCAGATTGACAATTATGAAAACAAAATTTACCCCATGGGGCTATAGGACATTGAAAGAACATACTATAACCATTAAGTATATTATTATTATTATTATTATTATTATTATTATTATTATTATTATTGACTTCTAATTGTTTATTATTGAATGAATGAACTTCACAACGTATTATTAATGGTTGATTTAATTGTACTTGATTAGACGATGGATTAAAACTTATAGTTAATGGTGTATCTGATTCAATATCTAATGGTTTACTATAAATGATCATAATTCCATAGATCATTAGTAATAATAATGAAAGAATCATTTCTACAATTGAATGTAATGAATTTGATCTTGAATGATACAACATGGTCTTCTTCTTCTTCTTCTGCTTCTTCTTCGTAGAAACTGGGACACTTCAATTAGTTGTTCCTTGTTCTCTTATCATGTAAAGCATATGATGGATAAAATAAGGTCTTCCATTGAATTTAATAAAGTACATAGTAACTAATTTATAATTTAGTTATTCCATTAGTAATTTGTTTCTATGTAAAACCAAAAAAGATTCTTTCTCTGTCATAAACTAAGATAACAGACGACAATTTTGTATTTTAGATCCAGGACATACGATTTTTAAAAAAATCATCTCTTTCTCCAGAAAAGTTATTCACATGTTGTGTTCACACTACAATAAATGATAATCATTAAAAAATGATAATAAACAACATAGTCTTTTCTTTTTTGGAAAACCGACCTCCCCCCACCAAAGAAACCTCACTACACCATACTACAGCATAGCACAGCACAGCACACGCATACACGCACAGGCACACACACATCAGTGTCATCACCAATACCAACCATTATGTGCTTTAAAAATTAATCAATGTAATTGTAGGTTGGAAAAAAAGTGATGCGTGGGCGTCCGGTACATTATTATGGTTAAGAAATAATAGTAACATCAATGTGTTGAATGATTTATTAACTGATCACTTTTTTTGTTGTTGGTTAGACAGAATTTTCAATGTTCATCTTGATGAAGGATTATTTTTGTTTGAAAATCATCAAATGGATAAGGAATACTATCAAGAAATTGAAGTATTCAATGGAAGTATATTTCAATTGAATTTGAATATGAAGTGAAAGATTTTAAGTGAGACGATAACTTATATATATATATATATATATATATATATATATATATATATATATATATATATATATTGATTTACTGACTGGCTGAGCTATAATGCTGAAACCCTATTTAAGCAAATAGTTGATTGAATTTCGCGCTAGATGAGGGGCGAGACTATAATTTATAGAAGGACCAATCGCATTCACGATAATAGATTTCGGATTTGGGATCGAAATTCATTCGTCCATTTGGGTAAAGAGCATTATGTCATTTTAGTTTATGTCAATAAGTGATGAAAAACCGTAAATCTAATTTCTAACTCTTAACCATCAACTGTAAATCATAATCCTTAGTTTTAAAACAGGTTTATAACTTTCATATTTAGTCACAGCAAGTAGAGTGAACATTCTCAAGGTCACTTTGGCGTCACTCGAAGGTCGTCTATAAATTATAGTCTCACCTCTTTGTGATTTTTGTTTTTTTAGTGCACGAACACTAACGTGGGGGCAATCAATTTATTTTTAGTACACACAGAAACTCTTGAAAAAAATATGGCAGTCAGTCAGCTACAACATAAGACCTGATACATATATGCAGTAACGGTCGGTGATAAAATATGAGAACCATACATTGAATACTTTCGGTGAGAAATTCCATTATTTGTCCTTCACATTCTGTATGATTCTTCGAAGTCATAAGTCTTATCTATTTCCGTTTCTGTTTTCTTCAAGTCGATCTTCAAAGCCTACTGTTGCTATGCATTTGTCTATTGACTCATATTACATACTACTTATGTCGACAGATATAAGTAGCATACACGACATTTTTATCACTGAACTGACAAATAAGTTTTACCTACATTATTTTGATGTTTATGTTTTCTGTAAGATCCGAAGTTCGTTATTTCTTAATTTATAAGATAGATTGATATCTATTAGATATCAGAATGGGTTTTGTGGAGACTTTAGAAATTTCACTGGTTGAAATCATGAGTCAATTGAAGTTAGATCACCATGGAAAACCTGGAAACACTGGATGGCCATTTCGTCCTAGTATGCAACTCCTCAGCAATGCGCATCCACGATCCCGCCTCCCACCATTAGAACACATGACCTATCAGTTTCGCGACAGGCGCTTAACCATCTAGACCACTGAGCCGGGATCCAACGTTGTTAATGTCTCACTTCAACCAATCCACGAAGTTGCGCCACCGTACACTATTGTTTTCAGTGAGTTCCTATCTCACAACAGACCTGGGTGAACTCCACTGGTAACGAATTCTTACTATGAGATAATTGAGTTAATGTTGAATGGCTCTTATTCAAGTATTTCCAATCTAATAGATCTTTGATTCACAACTGATCTCAATATGAACTTGAATGTAAGCAAATATACTTCAGGATTGATACGTTGATTCTAAACTACAAGTAAGCAATTGCTATCACAATATAATTTAATGAAATTGAATTCACATTCACTTGATATTGTATACTTGAATCTTCCCATTCGTTTTTAAGACTGCAGATTGATCAGTCTCTTATTGGCATATGTGTAGCTTGTGCAGATTGCCTAGATATTGCTTTCATTTACAAGCATTCACTCTGGGATGCAGGTACACTAAGCTGACGAATCCCAAATAGGACGAAACACGTAGCCTGGATTTCACTGCCAGGCACTATTCATTTTTGCTTAAAATGCTTGTGACTTAAGGCAATATCGAGGCGATCCGCACAGGTTGCATATATGCCAATAATAAGAGACTGATTAATTGTAATCCTAAACAACAATGGGAAGATACGATTAAACAACAATACCAAGTGAATTTACATTTTAATGATGGTTGTAATCATTGATAAAATGATAATAAAGGAATTCTAAGAATAGTATTCTTCTATTTCCAGCATGACGTTGTAGAGATAATTATGTTTTGATTGAGATCATGAGTCGATTAATTTTAAACCACCATGGAAAGTTTTCATTATTCATCAATCAGTGTTAGAATTAATCTAAGAGAAAATGATCAATATTATCAATGGTAAGTTTAACAATAATCAACTTGGTTTGTGACATATCCCGATGAGAATAATGAATGGTAACCGTCGGAATCTATTTCTGGACTAATACTATACAGACATTCTTATTGTATAATTGTTAAGTAGCTAAACTATTCATATTCTTGTCCCTTTTATTATAAGTCTTGTTTTGACCCATAGACTACTATTATACGATTTGCAGTTCTTGAGTTATGTTTAGTCTATTCATTACAGTCCCCCACATTCACAGTCACTTTTGGTTAGATTTTGTACAAATGTCATTTTCTATATTATGGTGCGATGTGATCTGTTTGGTTTGTATATAAACCCAGTATGTTTGAAATACTTGATTCATGTCGTGGAGGCTGAGATTGGTATTCTAGACTTAACTGGCTGGGCTAGTCAGGAAGCAGGATCAATAAGGACTCTACAGTGCTCATTGGCCCAGTCGATAATTATATTATATTAGTATTGTTATTATTAGCTTTATTCAATATGATATCTTTTGGTAGAATATAGAATTCTCAACATAAAGCGTTTCAGCAAGTTTTCCATTTCCTACTTCTTGGACGATCCTGATGATAACATATTGAATGATTGCTAGTTAGAGATTATCAGTTCAGTCAGTCGACATCTAACCAATGTACAATCTTTTCGATACATAATACCAGCAACTACCATATCTCTGATTGAGTTATTTTACAACTTATACAACGAAAGTTAGGAAAGCACCCAACTGCGTCACAAGACAAGCTCTCACATGGAATCCTTTAAGCCAAAGGAAAAGAGGAAAACCAGAAAACATATTACGCCGGGAAACGGAGATAGACATGAGAAAGATGAACACGAATTGGATGGAACTACAAAAGAAGGCCGAGGGCAGAGTGGATTGGTGAATGTTGCTCGGCGGCCCATGCTCCATTAGGAGTAACAAGCGTATGTAACTAAGTAAGCAAGTACAACGAAAGGTTGTACAGTTTTCGGAAATGCACTTGAATCGGTTATGCGATGCATTAAAACATCTGAAATTAATTAACTTATCGAAATATCTAGATAGTAGGAAAGATCAGGTAGCCCAAATATTCAAGCAGACCACCGCTATTGTTCTCTAATTAGCAATATCATTACATTACATATTAATAAAACACAAGGTTATAAGTTATAACAGTTAGAACATTGAATTTGTCTGATTCTAATCTAATTACATCACTATGTTACCTTAATTCAATTACTTAGGGTATCCCATAGTTACTAATGTTGTTTTTTTATTTTTGTGATTCAACTGATCTATTCAACTTAGAAAATCCTTTCATAAATGATTCGATTCATTGTCAAAATGTATGTTATTAGTATCTATCTATCTATCTATCTATCTTTTGTATAACAGTCTTAGGTTGAATTGATTCAGGTCATATTGTTAGTGTAGTGAATAGGTTATATTTCTTTTTATTACATAATTATGTCATTGACCTATGTAAGGATAAATGAATAAGGAATTAATATGATTATTGAATAGAGATTTATCTAATTTATTGTTTCATTGAATTGTATCATGGAAAAATTGAAATCAGTTAGAAGGGAAATATCTAAATATACTACTATTCATGGTACATTTCGACTTAGCTAGTGAGTACTAAAATGTGGATAGTGCAATGACGTTTGATGCGAACGTTACTGAGTCCGACTCTCAGAGTGAATATCAATTCTGAGATGCAGGTACATCCAGCTAACGAGTCCCAAATGGGACGAAACTTGCGTCAAACTAGATTCCACTGTTAGCCATCAACAATTATTGCTTATAAAAGCTGGTGAATTAAGGTAATATCGAGGCTGTCCACTCAATATGCACATATACCAATCACAGACTGATCAATCGCAGAGCAAAATATCAATGGGAAGATTCAAGTAAACAATGCCAATTGATTAGTTATGTTCAACTGCCACTGATAGGAATAAGTTGTTAATAAATAACATGGTAGATTAACTAAAGTTTCCAATCTAGATCATTATATCATGAATCAGTAATTTTATGATATTGTGTATAATATATCCAGTGTAAATGATTTGTAATAGATTATTATAAGCGAACAGATTTATGATCAATATATTTTTGACAGTTGACGTGACGAGTTGATCTAAGCTAGACCACTGATGGAAACTTGGAAGCATTAGACGACCGTTTCGTTCTAGTATGGAACTCCA